GCTATATTATGCGAGAACTCTTCTAGTGTTGTAAAATATTCAATAAAAATTCTTAATGCTAAATTATTAAGATGACGTTTGTTTTTTAAGAGGTGCTTAAGTCTGAAGTCTGAATTCACTTCTGAATTTTAAGAGGTGGTGCTGAAGTCTGAAATCTGAATCAGTCAGACTGTTTGTTTTTTACGTCTGAAATCTGAAATCTGAATCATTGAAATCTACGCTTTCTTTGCAAGCATTGGAAGCTCTAAAAGCAATTAAGAGGTTTTAAGTGAAAATGTTACCTCTAAATAATTCAGACATAATCAGAGCTTTTAAGCTCTTAATTGAAAAAAAAAACACACTTAATACCCTAAGGCCTGACCGATTCAGACATAAGAGGGTATTAAGTGCTTTTTAGGTAAAAACAAACAGGGCCTAAGTATTAGGCAATCTTTATTAATGCATAATTTGTTAAAATTTAATTTTGTAATTTATTACATTTTTTTAAACTCAGTATATGAACTCACAAAACCAACTGACAAATACGTCCAAATAGTTGATAAAATTGAGCTCTATAATACAAACATTATCTTCTATAAATTTTGCATTTTCAGTTTATAGTAACATTTTGCATCATATGATATTTTATAGGCCGTTTACTAAACACTTATTTTGTTAAGCGCTTACTGGTTGAACATAACAAAAACTGGAAATCTAACTACAAGGGTTGTGGCGTAGTGGTTGAGGCCCTAGGGGATATGGTGGAATGTCCCATTTGCGACGTACACAACAATTGTGTCCACTGAGTTTATCAAGACTGATTTCTTGTAGTCACAATTTGTTTGAATTAGTCCTAACATAGCCTGGGACTAGGGGTGTTCGCGGTCTGGTTTGGACGGTTTAACCCCTTAAACCACAAACCAAACCGTAATGGCGCTTTATAAAATTTTCAAACCGAGCGATTTGACATCAAGTGCCCAGACCAGTCAAACCAGACCACGAAAAGGCGGTCTGGTCTGACCGGTTTAGGCGGTTTGAGCCTTTAATGGACTTTAAATATTAAACTTAAAAAACATATATAATTTAGAATTTTAGATTAAATATTCATTTTAACAAAACAAAATATCCAAACAAATAAATATAATAATTAAGCAGCTCTTGAGTTTAAAGTCGAAGCAATCCAAAGTAGAAACAAATAAATATATAACATATTAGAAAGCAAACAAATTAACAAAGTTACAACTCTACTCACAACCTTCAATGGTTCAATTCTTGAGTCTTGAGTTCATGACCAAACAAAATAGAAGCCAAATCTAAGTTGGTTGAATCATTTGGTTGATGTCTTGATGATGTGCGCCGAAATCAAACCATGGATTAGAAAGATCAATAGATTGATGGAGTTCTTGAGGGATTTCAATATTTGGAGACCGTGAATATCAAATATGTCGATATGTTCAATGGTTTAATGGTTTTAGTCGTCGATTTTGATTATGTTAGATGTTAGGCTTAGGGATATATTTGGGTCATAGTCAATAAGTTAAAAAGTTGGGTTTGCTAATTTTAAAATAGATAAATAAATAAATATATATATATATATTTGGCGTTCGGTTTGGTCCAAACCGCCCAAAAAAGGTTCCAAACAGCAGACCAGACCGGACCGCCCGGTTTTGTTATTTTCCAAACCAGACCGAACCGCCAGACCGCTCAAACCGCCAAAAACGGTCCGATTTGACTTGGTTCGGCCGGTTTGAGCGGTCCAACGGTTTTTTTGAACACCCCTACCTGGGACACCCTAAAAAAAGAATCCAAAATCTTACTCGATAAAAAGGAAGACAAAGATTGAGTCTAAGCCGGTGATTGAGGGTTATAACTCTTAACCGAAAATCAATTATCAGATTATAAATATTTACTATCAATCCATTTTGATAACCGAAAATACCATTTTATAAGATAAATAAAAATAAGAACTTTACTGATAAATACTTACCTGATAAAAATTTGATAAACGGTCCTTTAATTTTAGCCATTTGATGTGTTATAACCAAAGAATGTTCCGAATTGATTTTATGGTTGAAAATGTTACCTATACTCACTTAGGAAACAGCTACCGGTAAATAATAATATTTTAAAAAAATATTCGTAGAAAAGTAAAAAAAAATGATTTTTTAATTGGAAAAGAATAAAAAAGAAATTACCTGCTTCGCTGGAGCCAGCTGTCGTATGTAGAATCTCCTATTGGGTGATGCGACCGACGTCTGTTTATTAAACCTCCTGTTTCTCCGTTACTTCTACCGACCTCTGTATCCATGTCGTCACTTGTTGGTCCCACCTTCCCTCCCTCCTTTTACTTTCATATTTTTCTTATTCACCCCCTAACTTTTTCTCTTTTTTTCTTATAACCTCCATTTTTATATTTCACATCAAAAAGGTCCTAAACCACTGCCTCTTGGGTCAAAGTAGTAGCATTCACCACCAAAATGCCGTACATGTCTCTTTTCGGTTGGTACATGGATGATACTAAATGAACAAACCACAACAAAGCAAGCGAGTAAAAGAATCAGGGTCGGACCCTATGTATTATGTCCGAGTGAGGTCTTTTTTTTTATTAACCTGGATATCCAATCCGTTATGTGAGCCGACTAATCCCAGGACGATCACATGATTTGCAGATAGCCCGGAGTCACCGCATTTGAACCTCAGTGGCCACAAAGAGATTTTTATACCTCATTGGATTTGAACCTGAGACCTCCTGGTGCTTTTGACCTTTGGAGCCAAGCTCAAACCAATCAGTCATCACCGAGTGAGCTCTTGTATACCCATTCAAGTTATCTTTGTAATTCTCAAAGTAACTACCTCCATCAGACCAGATAAAGTAGATTTGTTATATCATTAAATATTTTAGTAATATATTGATGTTGAGACCTTCAAAATAGAGAATCTATTAGAGTTGAATGTGCTTGTTTTTAAACATTGTGAAGAAAGTGTTAGCGATGCTCTTAGTAATTTACAAATTCTATTTAATCTCTTTCACTTTTATTCCACTATTTTGGTAAGACTATTTCGGTCTAATATTACGCCATAATGAGACAACATACTTTTATAACGTTTTGTACGATCCTATACCAAATTAAGAAACACATGGTCTTACTATTCAAACCCCTTTGTGTTAAATCATGGTATTATGTAAATAGGAACTTGTGATTGTAATGTGTGGCTAGGATTTGATATGAGGGTCCAATAATTAATAGACCTTCATGTTTTATGGTTAAAAAAGAATGACAATATCTCCTTTTTATAAGATGGGGGCATGATGTATTTCTCTTGTATGAAAGTTGAACTCAAAATGTTTATAATAACAAAGTTTAGGAGGTTTTTGATTACTAGTGGTAATATTTTTTGTGTTTTTATTAGAGAGTAAAAAGAGGGGATAAAAGAAAGAAAATAAATGTGGCCCCATGAGGAAACAGATGCAGTTGGCAGATGCAGCATGGATGCATGAATGTTTATGCACAATACCCCACCACCATGACCATCAACCCTAATCCCTTTTCTATGAATATGGGTTGGATTTTGTTAAAAAAGGAATTTAATTATGGTAAGGAACGTAAAAGAGATCTTTATTCTTAGATTAATTCTAATTGAATACTCAAAACTAATGAGTTGCACCAAGATATACCAGATCAATTTCTATATAAAACGCATTTCATGGATGAACATGAGATTAAGTAATCAAGAATTCAGATTCTTCCTTAAACTTCTCACTATAACTTCTCTACATATTCATATTTTTATGTTTTTTCTTCATATATATATATATATATATATATACTAGTTTTGACGCACAGGGAAAGATGGAAAAGGAAAAAGAAGACTGTCAATAGAAAAAAAAAAAGGTATGACCTTACCAAAATGGTTTTGGCGTACAGGGATAGCTGGGGAAGGTCTGAATCTGTTGGAGTAGAGAACTTTACATCGCTTTATCAATGCATCAACAAGTTGTACATTATACTTTATAACTTGTCATTAAGAGTTTTTTGAAATTTATGCATAAAATGGCAGTACTTTGTGCCTTATGGTTTGTAATTAAGATATGAGTTTAAATGCTTATATATGTAGTATATATATATATATATATATATATATATATATATATATATATAAAAGTATATGCAAGCATTTCCATAAATGTGAAAGGCGATCACTTGTATGGATGGTGTATATCCTAATCTGGAACACATATTGACTCATAGTATGGGTCTCGGTGTGGGATACATATAGGTTTGTAGCCTCCTACATAGATTGTTTTATATATATGGTCGGGTTGATTATAAACATCAAGAGTGACCAAATATGTAAATATGAGAACTTTCAAATCATGTGTGATTTTATATTATAAACATGTATGTGATTCCGTGCAACTTTGGCTACGACTTGTCGTGGGTCAAATCACTCATACCTTTGTATTGACCGTGTTTCGTAATTACATGTAATTTCAGTTGAAATCACTTGTGTTTTAGTGATTTCTTGTGTTTTTTTTATGTTGACCTTTTCATCTTTCTCTATGTAAAGAAGGGATAATGTCTAAACTAGGGAAGATATTCAAGGTACTCATGAATTTCTTTGTATTTCCTTACTTGGAAAACCAGTACAAAAAGCTAAATCAAAGATTTCTAAAAGGAGATTTCAAAGCTAATACGAGGGTATGTAAACGAAGATTATATATATACATATATGTATCATAACCGGCATATGTAAACTAAGATATATATATATATATATATATATATATATTTTTTTTTTTATATATATGTATCATAACCTAATCCATGTACTCGAAACAAATACAGTTTCGGGGTCCAAAAGTGTCCATGTTCTCCTGTAACAAGACATGTAACTTGGGGATTGTGCTAGATGAACAATACTTTGAATACATCTTGTATGTGTATGTGTATGTGTATGTGTATGTGTATGTGTATGTGTATGTGTATGTGTATGTGTATGTGTATGTGTATGTGACATATAGATATACATTTTGTATATAGAGTTATATGAAAAAGATTAAAGAAAGGAATAAAGAAAAGTAAATGGTGATCAGAGAGTTGCAGAGGCCTCACATTGCATGGTCACTCTACCCACGTTCCTTTGCTCCCCACACCCCTCTCTCTAATACCTTAATCACTAAGCCCCAAAAGTACACACTATATCAACCCCCTTCCCCATTTCCTTCTCTATCCAAACCCCACTGTAACTTGCAGTTCGGAGGACGGCGACTGTGAGATCGAGCTCTCATCATAGCTTGTTATCTCAGTTGTCATCCCCCAATAACCGATTCATGAAGAACACACAATTTGTAATCAAGATTTTGGTAAATTTGGTGTGTACCTGTTAATTTGGTGGCAGATAATCGAAGATTGATGGATATTTATGGTATGTCGTCGGCGGGACAGGATTTCTTAGGCGTAGACGAGCTTTTTGACTTCTCCGATGACCGTGATGACCTTTTTTCCTCCTCAACCACCACCGCTGCCACCGACGCATTCCACAACATTACATCCTCCACCGCCTCAGCCAGCCAGTTCCAGTATATTTTCAATAATAACAATAATACCACCACCACCACCACCACCACCAATTACCACCACTCAACCGACTTCACCGACCATTTCTGCGTTCCGGTAAGTAGACACACACAGTTCACCTTTTCTGTGTGTTTTAGAGAAAAATTAACAATTCACAAAATTAATATCTATTGAGATGCATGATTCGTACCGGTGATCGGTAAATTGATGAACGTTTCTGGCTTCAAGCATTGTTAATTTTTTCTCTATTTGTGACTGATTTTTTATTGTTCATTTGCTTGGAAACTGCTAGAATGATGAAGTGGCGGAGCTCGAATGGCTATCGAAATTCGTCGACGATTCATCCAGCGATTTCCCGGCGAATAACATAGCTGGAACTATAAACTTCCGGCCGGAGAACACGTCAATTCACAGCCGATCAAGGAGCAAAAGAACCAGAGCTCCGTCAAATAACAACAGTTGGACATCGACACCGGTACCTACCACTCAGATCTCTGAAACATCGAAGACGAAGAGAGAAACTTACTCATCGACTACATCTTCATCCTGCGACACAACCTCCGAGACCGGCATCGTTAGGCGCTGCACACACTGCGCGTCGGAGAAGACGCCTCAATGGCGAACCGGACCGTTAGGTCCGAAGACGTTGTGCAACGCGTGCGGCGTGAGGTACAAATCCGGTCGGCTGGTTCCGGAGTATCGTCCGGCTGCCAGTCCGACGTTTGTGCTAACTCAACACTCCAACTCTCACCGGAAAGTAATGGAACTCCGTCGGCAAAAAGAGATGATTTTAGGCCATCACCACCACCAACAACAACAACACTTACCGCCATCAGAACACCAACTCTACGGCGGCGGACATCACCACCACCACCACCGCCAACAACAACAACGATTACACCATGGCAGCAACTACGAGGTGTGCTGACGGCACCGTCACCGGCCAGGAATCACGACGTAATCGTTTCCAAAAATACTTACCGGATGAGAAAGAAATCAAAAAACTGTTACGAATTTCAGAATTCCATGATCTGATTTTTTTTTGTATTTTAATTCCAAAATTAAATAAAAATTAAAGATCATACGGTCGGGTACGGTACGAAATGTTTCATTTTAATTTTAGTTTACAAATTCATAATTAAAAAATAAAAAAACAAATTAATTTTTTTAAATATATAATATTTATATAGCGTAAATGCAACAAATAAACTAACACATCCTCCTTAGAGGTGTTCGCGGTCCGGTTTGAGCGGTTTAACCTCTCAAACCACAAATCAAACCGTAATGGCGGTTTATAAAATTTTCAAACCGAGCGGTTTGATATCAAGTGCCCAGACCGGTTAAACCAGACCACGAAAAGGCGGTCTGGTCTGACTGATTTAGGCGGTTTGGGCCTTTAATGGACTTTAAATATTAAACTTAAAAAATATATATAATTTAGAATTTTAAATTAAATATCCATTTTAACAAAATAAAATATCTCAACAAATAAATGTAATAATTAAGCAGCTCTTGAGTATAAAGTCGAAGCAATCCAAAGTACAAACAAATAAATATATAACATATTCGAAAACAAACAAATTAACAAAGTTACAACTCTACTGTGAGTATTCAGTAACAAAATCCACGACTTCACAACCTTCAATGGTTCAATTATTGAGTCTTGAGTGATTGACCAAACAAAATAGAAGCCAAATCTAAGTTGGTTGAATCACTTGGTTGATGTCTTGATGATGTGCGCCGAAATCAAACCATGGATTAGAAAGGTCAATAGATTGATGGAGTTCTTGAGAGGTTTCAAAATTTKGAGACCGTCAATATCAAATGTGTCGATATGTTCAATGGTTTAATGGTTTTAGTCGTCGATTTTGATTATGTTAGATGTTAGGCTTAGAGATATATTTGAGTCATAGCCAATAAGTTAAAAAAGTTGGGTTTGCTAATATTAGATATATATATATATATAGAGAGAGAGAGAGAGAGAGAGAGAGAGAGAGAAGCGATCAAATAAAAACCAMTCCAATTTGTAAAAACCGTAAAAACTACTCTCATCCGTCGTTAATCTTATGAAATTTTTTCATGAAATTGTTAATCTTGTGAAATTGTTTCATATAATACTTTTTTTGATGAAGTTGTTTCATATGTGGTTATGAAATTGTTTCATATAATACTTTTTTTGATGAAGTTCTTTCATATGTGGTTATGAAATTGTTTCATATACCACTTAATGAAATTTTAATGAAACTGTTTCATGTATTTCTCTAAAATGATAATATCCATGATTAACACCCTCCACAATAAAAATGGTTAATCAACTTCTCATAATTACAAAAAAATGAACAAAATGAAAAATTATGATT